TTAATGCCACTGAACTGTACACTGAAAAATGGTTAAAATGGTAAATCTTACGTTATGTACATTTTACCACAATAAAAAAGAATAAAAAGAATTTTAACCTTATAGTACTCATAAAAGCAGTATTAGTGAAAAAAGAGTAACTGAATAACTGGGGAAGTCTTTGGGTTTTTCCTTTTTCATAAATATTATCATCAGGCTTTCTTACATTGTGTAAGTTCACTCAGATGTCACTCCTGTCACCATGGCTAATGTACATTGGGCTCTTACTATATGCCAGGTGCAGTGTACCTAATACTTCCCATGGGTTTTCTCATATGTTCCTTACCACAACCCTGAAGTAGGTATTATCATAATTTGTATTTTGCAGTAAACTGATGGTTAAAGAAGAAAATAAATTGCTCAAGGTCACACACCTAAGTGAGGGATGAAATCAAGACCCAGACTGAAGCCTGTCTAACTCAAAATCCCATGTTCTAAGCCACAACGTTATACGGTCCCTTCAGCACTGTTTGCCCCTCTGCTTGGTACTGTCATGGGCAGGAGGCCTGGTCTGGATTGGAATGGGTCAGGCCAGACCATCATGGAGTGAGCAAATAAATTGGCACTAGTACTTACAGTTTAGTGAGGCTGTGCAGTCCTCTGAAAGCAGAGATAGATATGGATCTAATCTTATTGTTTTGCAGGAAACTGTGAAAATGATTATTAAAAAGGAAAACAAAGTCAAACAGAGTGTGAGTTTTGCGAGGTGAAGAGTTCTGTGGATGGATGGTGGTGATGGCAGCACAACAATGTGAATGTAACTAATGCTTCTGAATATACACTTAAAAATAGGTAAGATGATAAATTTTGCATTGTGCATTTTACCACAACTAAAAACATGTAAAAATTGAAAAAAAAGCTAAACATGAAATAATTTAGTGAAGCTAGATATTATGTCATTCTTTTACTACTAAAGGTCATGTATGATTAGGCTAGTTTTATTTAGAAATTTTAGTTATAAAGAGGAACAGATAATAGCTAAAATTTACTATTTGCATTTTGTAGAAATAAAACTTTAATGCATAGTAAAGCATTCACTAATCATGCCTAGAAGCCAGAATTTTTATCATTTTCTGCTATAATTTTTCAAATTTGTATGTTCTCAAAACAGTGCTGGAAAAACTACAAGTAAATAACATCTTTAATGCCCCAAACCATAGACCATGTTAAACACAAATCTGCCAAGCAAGTCAAACTTAATTTTATTTTGACATCCCAAGCCTTATTTCAAAAAGTGTTTGAGCAACTGATAAGAAGTATAAATGGCCAAAGAGAAAAATATAAACAAAAAGAATCAGGCTTAGAAGAATATAAATTAGACTGGAATGTCAAGATAAGAATGCAGGCTTACGTAGTTAACTAAAGTAATACCAGAAATTTGACCTTGAGTTAACTGAAGGTCAAAGGAAATAGGGACCAGAGTTCAAGGTACTGTACCATGTGCACCCATATATAGCTTTTCACTTCTTCGTGTACTTGCCCCAGGTTGCTTGACCTTGAGTTAACTGAAGGTCAAAGGAAATAGGGACCAGAGTTCAAGGTACTGTACCATATGCACCCATATATAGCTTTTTCACTTCTTCGTGTACTTGCCCCAGGTTGTGGGGAATGATACAGTAAGGGTACCAAGCCTGTCTTACTGTTCTGAGTGCAGGTCACGACTGTTCATTAGAGTGTCCTAAAGTTTATATACAATTTGTTATAAATTTTAGGAGCAATAAAGGAGAAATCAATATGAATGAATTTTCAGTTAATTAGAAATCTTGGCTAAAAGAGATTCCATATTTCTTCAACATGCAAGAAAACCTAACTTTGAATGTAAAATGTTATGAAACTTATTTTGCACCTGACAATTTCACATGACATGCTGTGGGCCAGATCACATAGATCACATAATGCATCTTTCTCATGAATATACAGAAAGACTTTAACATGTATGTATTTGTTTGTTTCTAACTGTTGTGATGACCTACTAAGCAACAGACTGCATTACCTGGAGGTTGAGGCAAGGTATACCTTTAATAACCAATTAGACATTTTTTTGTCATCAGGCTATTTTAATCATTTTGTTACTTGGAACAAATTGGCTGTTCAAAAATTAGTTCAATATTTATTGTCCAAAAATGCTAAACTGCTGTGTTATATAAGCCTGATTTTTGATATTTAGATTTACAGTCTAACTCTGTTTAAACATGTGAACATAAGGTGGTGCTATAGATCAGAAAATTCTTCGTGCTACAGAAATCAGAAAATAAAATAAGGAAGTATCCTCTTGAAGTTTTTGTATCAGGCCTAATTTTGGAAAGTTCTTCTCCGCTGATTGATAAATATTCAGAATGAAGTTCTGAAAAGTTATTTTCATTAGAATTTTAATTTTCAAATATGAAATATATTTGCCTGCAGATTATCTGGGTTTTCAGAACATTTCATTAAATGAAGTGGGTTAATTTTTCACC